CGCAATATATTTTCAAAAGATGACACCATACCACACTGGCTTTCTCCCAAAAATGCAACGGTGGTGTAACACAGAAAATCTGCATGTCTATCAGTGTCACCTACCTCAGAAATAGATGGGGGAAAAAACCTCTTTCCTGTATCAGCTTTTGCCTCTTTACTCTAATTTTCATCATTCATACTCACTAATCTCTCTCTCCTCTCCACTCTCACATTACCTAACTTACGCGAAACACTTGACACAGCTGATCATCAAAACTCTTCCTCACTTGGCACCTAAGAAAACACTTTTTTTTTCTTTTGCCTTTCTTCCTGCCTCACTAGGCAGCCCCTTCTTAGTTCCTTCACTAATGATCTGGAGTTCATTCCTTGGTTGCCACCTTCTTTTCTCGATACTCCCAGCCTTGGTGATCTCATGCAGTCTGCAGGCTCTAAGTGTTACCTTACATGATTCACTAATGGGTATCTCCAGAACACCTCTCTTCTGAGCTCAACCCATCAATCCAACTGCATTTGGCTATCTAACAGATACCTCAGACTGACTGCCCTCAATTCCCATATGTTCTTAAATCCACTTCTAATGTTCTCCTCCCTAGCTCCACAGTTACCCCCCCCCAATTATGGCAGCTCCATCTCAGCAGTTGCTCAGGCCAGAATTCTTGGAGTCCTCCTTGTTTTCTCTCCCCAGCTTATCCTAAATGCAGTCCTGTTGGCTTTTCCTTTGCAAATATATCACAAATCTTACCACTTCTTACCAACTCTGCTGCTGTCCTCCAGATTGGAGACACCATCATTTCTTGCCAGAATTAGGGCAGCAGTCTCCTAACTGGACCCCCTATCGTCTTCATAGCCCACTCAGAGGAAAAGCCAAAGTCCTTACAGTGACATACACGACCCAACACAATCCGGCCACGCTACCTCCCTGATGTCACTTCTCTCAGGCTTCCACCCTGTGGACTCTGTACTGGCTGTTCCCTACGCCCAGAATGTCTTTCCTCCTGACGTCTGCGTAGCGAACTCCCTCACCTCCTTAAAGTCTTTGCTCAGTGAGGCATATCCAGACTAATCTATATGAAATCAATATAAAATTTACCTCCCACCATAACACTCATGAATAACTGTTACTCTGCTTTACTTAGCTCATAGCACTTTTTTTCCCATAGCTCTTATCACTTCTGAACACTATGTATAATTTGTTTCTCATTATGTTAATTCTATATTATCTCTATCGTCTTGCCAGGTTAGAGATTTTTGAAGTCAATAAATAAAAAGGTTTTCAACCTTATGAGTCTTCAGGAAAATGCAAAGTCAGACCAAAGTGAGAGTCCATTTCATAATCACAATTTTGATTTTAAAAAAATGATGATAATAAGTGCAGACAAGGATGTAGAGCAACTGAAACCGTTACCCACTGCTGATGGGTGTGTAAGCCTGCATGACTGCTTTGGAAAATACTTGGTACCATCTTGTAAAATTGAACATTCATGTAACAGAGGGTCTTGGCCATTCCACTCCTTGTTGCACACTCTTGAGAAACTCCCCCCCAAAATTCTCCAGAATCCAAGTGCAAGAAACATTCCCAGCATCACTGTTTCTAATATAAAAACTAGACACAAACCCAGTACCTCCTGATAGGGGAACAAACAAACCATAGTGTGTTAACACAGTGGAACAGTACACAGAAGTGGTAAGAAATGGACATCGGTTATGCACAATAATGTTGATGAATCTTAGAAACTAATTTCAAGTGAAAAAAGTAATTTTCAAAAGACTGTACTATATAGTCTCATACTACTTTTATAAAGCTCAAATATAGCAAAATTGAACAAGATACTGTTTGGGGATATGGACATATAATAAAAGAAGATGATACATACTCACATGGGTTAGTGTTTATCTTTGGGGAATAGGCCTGGGAATGAGATAGGAAAGCAACACAAAAATATTAAAGCACTGTCAGTGTCATGGTGAGTATATTATAGATATTAGATATCTTCTATGTATCAAATAGTATTCTTAAAACTTACAAGGTAACAAAATGCAGCTCCTTGGCAGAGCCACATCGTGGTGGGAGAGATTGGATGTGTAATGCCCACCACCCTGTCCTGATTTACTGCTACAGTGACCGACAAAAATAAACGGAAGGAACTCAGCGTGTGACTTTCTTTTTTTCTCTCCTTCCTCAGCATATCATCTACTCTGTGAAATTTTTCATTTCGTATGCGATTCCCGATGTCTCGAAAAGCACGAAGAGCAAGATCAAGAGAGAAAAATACCTAACCCAAAAGCTCCTTCATGAGAACCACCTCAAAGATATGACGAAAAATATGGGGGTCATAGCTGAGCGGATGGTAGAAGTGGTGGACAACAATTTACGACCAAAAGTAGACTAAGAGCTTTATGTTCTGAGAAGCACTTTAAAGAATGTAGCTCTGTCCAAATATATTATGAATCACTAATGAGAATGTTTTAAGTTAAATCACTTTGGCAGACATGAGTCTTAACAATGGCCATTTTCATGCAGTTTACTTTTCAGTTTCAGCGAGTGATGCAGGAACTGAAAATGCAAAATTTAGATCAAGAAGGGCATAAAGCTAATCACCTGGAAAACCTGAAATGTTACTTTTTTTTCGATAAATTGGTATTTTTTAGCAACACAGAAAAAAAGTTTCTTCGCTTGCTTAAAAGCAGCCCCTACCAAAGCAGAATGGATTTTTTTCCTCCATTGATGACT